CCATAATAAACACACCTGCTTTGTAGCTCTTTAGGAGTTATTCAGTTTGTTTCTGCATGTCACGCCCATTTGCAATGCTATTTATATTATGAATTATTTTCATAGCTTTCATAGTATTGATGTGTCTGAGGAATGCTGGCTTTTCATGCACCAAAGGAAGACAGGTCACCTTCTGTTTCACACTGAGTCTCGCTGGATTTGCATTGAGCCGAACACTACACACTCAATAATGGAGGCCCATTCTTGTGATCATTTCATGATCTCATGATGCAGGGAACCCCAAGCCCCGAAGAAACGTAAATACAAGGAAATTTTCCAACTTGCTAAGTTAAACCAGTCTGTGTTGTACAGAATCCATGCGTTTCCTTTTCAGAATTGAAAATTTATGTGAAGAATCAAGGATGTCATGACAGCCAAGAGCTCTTATTTAAACACATTAACAGAACAAATTTGATGCCAGAGAATCCAAACAAACCAGACAAAACACTACTTTTTACCTTAAATGTGCAATATAATGAATGTTGCTGAAATGTTATTTCACTTTTTTTTTTTTATTTTAGAATGTGCACATTTTCATAAGGTCTTGCTCAGGCACTCTGATACAAAATATAAACCACATCCAATGACTGCCAGGACAACTAGCAGAAAACATTGGACATCAAAATTGGATGCATCAATGGAAAGCAGTTTCACACTCAACCTCTAAATTAAATCTGCTTGCTTTGTTCATATGCATAATTCCAGCAGAGTAGTATTTATTTTGGTACAATACCCTTAACTGAAATGGCACTAGAATGATTATTTTGATCCATTCCATTAAGCAACACCAGCAGTATTTGCCCAACATTCAGTCTGTTCATGTTAAGAAGCCCCACACAATTTGACACAATTGGCATTCATGACTCTGAAGAGACCTGTGCCTACACTTCAAGGGTTGCACAGAGACAAAACTGGAACACACTCTGAGACCACTCCTTGCAATGCGCAAAACCTCACGTTAAACACCCTTCCCTGTCAAGGACACTTACAACACAGCCATTAGAAATGAAGGGGGCAATAAAGAATAATCCCACTCTCCTCATGGCCTACAGGATGAAAAACAGTTGTTTCAGAATTTATTGTAAACACCAGTATTTAATCTCTAGAGACCTCAGTTCAAATTGTAACTGAAAAGCTACTTTTGTGGGTTTAAATTGTCAGTTACATTCCTCCTCCCACTCAGGGCATGAAGTTTAACACCTGACAAATTACAAAGTTATCGGAAAAATCAACTTTCTCCTTTTGTTAAAAAGATCAAAAGATACTTTATCTAATGATTTTTTCATTATCAGCATTGTCAGCTGGAGTACCATGCACACTTCTACACGCCCTGTGTTTTAAGTGGATTCAGTGGAGAACAGAGGGTTTTCCTGTGTTTTCATGCAATGAGTGATCATTACCATGTGCAATACTCCTACAGTTTTCTGGGTTTGTTCAGAGCAGAATATAACACATAGTTGTGCACTGGCCTCCCTCTTCCACCGGAACGACATCCCAAGTCTTCAGAGTAGTCTCCCTCCCAGGTCAGTGCAACGTTGTGCACCCCGTACCTTGTGCACGCTGCTGGCTCCTCCCTAATACACGCATTAGCTTCAGCTGAAGTACCTTGTAATTATTAGATCAGACAAAGCAAGCCCAGGCACTATTTTAAAGCATAAGAGTCAGTCATTATTTAACTATTCCTACCTCAGCTAGATGTCTTGTCTCACAAGAGGCAGAGGTCTTTTTTAACCATGTTCAGAATCTTTCCAATATCTTATTTTTCTCCATAATTAAAACTTTCTCCCCCAACGGTTTGGCTTTTTTAAACTCTGCTAATCTTCTGTTCTGAGTATAAAAAAGGATGAGAAATGGCCTCTCTTAACTACCAGTTGCTCACACTTTTTCTTCAATGGAGCAAAATTAAACATAGGGCTTAGCCTACCTCCATTTTACACAAGCAGAGTCCCCATTCACTTCTCCTACAGCTTTACCTGAACAAAATTGCAGTCCTTTATTTTCACAAAATGAGCTTTGCATTACTTCTGTTAACCAAAACATGCCCAGGTGCAAATGTACAGTGTGTTGGGTAATTCCTTGCTGCAATGTAGTAGGTGGACCTCAAATTATGAAACGATGAGGTTCAGATGCTGTAACTGCTGGCACACCATTTGTATCAGTAAAGCAGAGCAGATGCTTGCAATGCACCACTATAAGAGCAGTGAGTGCTCTCTCAGAATGACAGGATGAGCTTTGAAACATTATTCCAGTTTAAAGGAGATTTTTGGAAGCTAGGTCAGTCAGGCTCATCTATTCCCAGAGGCAATTAATTCATGTTCACTTTACTCACCCAGAAAACTTTCCCAGAAGAATCCAAGAATTCTGCACACAGAAATGACCATGCCTCAGCCCCCCAAATCAAAAGAGCTTCTACTGTAACATGCTGTCGTGAGAAAAGTCCATTTAGAAAGCACAGTAAAGTTTCATATTTATGAGAGCAGAAGCTGAAATTGTTCCAGTAGCCCAGTCTGGAGGGGGAGCTGGGCAGGCAGCACACAGCTCTGCAGAGAGGCTCTGCAGCTCCCCAGGCCCTCTCGCCTGCCGAAAGCAGAGCTGGCAAACGCCGTCCGTGGCTGTTAGGAGGCAGCCAGACTGAACTGTGCCATGTGTAGCAGGGGTGCTTGATGAAGCAGTGGATGGATAGAAAACCACTGACGTGCTCTATAAGCAGATCAAATTTTCAAGCACTGCCCCAGGTCACACGGGCTGAAAAAAAAAAAAAAAAAAAAAAAAAAAAAGAAAAAAACCCACAGGGTACAGCCCAAGTCCAGACATCCAAAATCCACTCGGCACTGCGTTAGTGATAAAGTGATAAGACAGAACACCTCAGTCCACAAGCACCTTAATTTGTATTTTAAATACCAATTTAACTATACCTCTCATTTTTGGCACCGCTATCTGTAATTTGGGAATGCATCCTAATAGGCCAATTTTAAGATCTCCCATGGACAGATGTTATTTGTACCGATGGTGAAGATGAACGGAGGGAACGGAACGTGTGCAATGCAGTTGTTCAGCAAGTACATCAGCAACCTTGTGCAATAATCTTTCAACTAGTTTATTAAATGTATCTCCTGTTCCGAGTAAGTTCAACATCTAATGCCAAAATTTCATCAAGAACTCAAATAGCTTGGTAGCCAGTTATCACCCGTTTAACTTAAAAGTACTAATACAAGAAATACATATTATACATCACTAAAATTTTCACACACACACACACACACACACACTTATCATTATCCTGTTTGTATCAATTTATTTTCACAAATCAATTTCCTTTTTTCCTACTCAGTCTTCACATCTTCTGAAGGCACAACACCCAAGTAGGCAATGCAAAATGTACTTTCTTTAGAAAAGTCTATTTCTAAGAGAACAGTTTGGCAAAACCACTTTTGTTTAAAAACTCAAGTTCCAAAATGAACCTTCAAAAAGCATCAGAGAACACTGCCAAGATTAAAAACTCTTTGAGGTGTCTGCACATGCAACACACCACTTAACCTTTAATAAACCAGAACTTTTTTGGGAGGTTATAAAAGCAGAAGTAATAAAATCTCATATTGGTTTTAATCAAGTTTTAACGATGGGACAGTCTCTAGGCAAAGCTCCCAGAAAAGAGCCAGACCACCACAGAAACCATTTGGTGCTCTGAAATCGAACGCTAGGTCGACTCATCAAAGCTCCATTACAGTTATGAACACACAGCTGTATGTTTCCTCCCTCCTTATACACCTGACACTTAGACAAAGGGGAAAAATAAATCATTTTATGCATTTTTCCATGCTTCCCTGTTATTCCTATTACCAATCAATGTCAAGAAGTATCTCACATATTTTTTGTATTGTTAGCACTATAAAATGTAAAATATATTTTATGTTTTCACACATGCTAATGTTTCCAGTATGATAAATGACTTTCTAAATCCTGCACTTCTTGTCACACTGTAGATCCACTTCTACTTGACAGTGACTCCTGGACATACATGTCAAGACAAAAAATAAATACTGCTGCGATGGTTAACGTTTTAGGACTCTGAGGACACCACTACAGCAGCACTTGAAAGACTTTAAATACAACAAGAAAGACATCAGTTAAATAGAACCCTGCTTCGACATAGCCATAAAACCTGCACTACACTTGTGAGACCTGTACTTGTTCCTGTAAGAGCAGCTGCTAATCTTTGAACGTGTCAAATGTTGCACTCCAGCCCTCCACCAATACCCTTTAAAAAGTCCACATTACTATGTTTAGCAAGCATCCCCTCCAGCTGTGCATAAGCAACACTGTAATTCCCAAACAATTGAGGTAATTATAAAAATGAATATCATTTATTGGTTGGGGTTTTTTTTGTTGTTGTTTTTGTTTTTTTTTATTACTATCATGTCTGAATATTTGCTTTCATACAAAAGTCTGATTTTCAGCATTATGCTCCAAGGGCATCCCATCCACACCAAGGGGGACAAAGATGTGTTAGGAATTGTGCAAGAGTTTATTTTACTATCTTCAAACCCACAAGAACCCCACAGACAAGATTTCAGTACAAAACCCCTGTCTGGCATTTTAAAGAAGGTGAAAGGGGCCTTACACATATTTTAGTTCTGCTTTATTTATTTTTTTAAAATTGTATCTAATCCAATGCAAGGGGGTGGGGGTAATAAAAAAAAAAAAAAGAAAGAAATCACCACATTACTGTGTGTTACCCTTCAGCAGTCTTTGGAGGAAACTGGAAACCAGGTTGCTTTTCCCAGCTCCCCCCCTCACTCAAGCCAGCTGGAGCGGCTCCTCTCTCTGCCGGGGGAAAAAAAGGGGCCGGGGGCCGGCCGCTGCCCTGTCACAGCCGTGGCTTCCTAAGTAACGTTCTGCTGAGGTCCTTCACTTCTTCAGGGCTGCCCACCCTCTCGTAGCCCAGCACAGCCATGGGCTGGTGGCAGTACTCCTCGACCTGTTTGATCTGCTGGTAGCTAAGCGCAGTCCTCCAGGCGCTCAGCGCCTGGGTGGCGTTCCTGGCCGACACCACGAAGGGCTTGGAGGAGTAGCCAGGGCCACTGGTCATGTTGAGGGCAAACTTCTCCATCTCCGGGCTGACCGCCAGGTTGACGAAGCCGTACACCTGCCGCAGGGTCTTGATGGGCTCCACCACCAGGTCCTCGTAGCGCACAGCCATGTATTTGCCCTGGAGCCAGTCAGGGGGGTGCAAAGCAGTCTGCAGGGTCTTGGCCATGCTGCTGCAGATGACCTCCATGGCACCCAGGGCATGGTAGTCCGAGCCGCCCCCTCCCTCCTTCTTTCCGCCCAGCTTGTGGCCAGCATCAAGGAAG